TCACATTTTATAGCCATTGGATGTGATGCTATAAGATGCGTGTGTGCTAACGTGGGTTTTATCTGTTTTTGTTTTCCATGTGAATGAGACCAAATTAAATCTCATCTAGATGAGTTCTAGGTACTCCCTAATTTGTTATCTTTCCAGTTGACTGGTCCATGGGGACGGGAGGTCACTTTCTCGTCCAATGGAAGTGACTGAACACCGTCCCCCTTCGTTCCCCTACACGCGCGAAATTCGGTCGCGAGATGTCGCAGGCCAATGTTTTCAGCCGAGACGCGCGCAGCAGGAAGCTGCACGACATTCGCTCATCCGGCCACGCCAAACGCCCAGCCAGCGACACCAGCGCATGCAGGAAGGACGCGGCGCCCAGGCCGGCACGCCACCACCACCCGCGCGGGACCGGCCGGACGAGTGGCGCTCCGCCAAGCTCAGAGCACGCATGCAACCCTCATGCCCGCGAAAGCCTCCCGTCCTCCACCGCACGGCGCAGCGAGCTATAAGACGGCGGCGCGGGCGCATCACCTCCCCGCATTCCCACGGAGAGAGGAGGCAGGCAGCCAGGCAGGCAGCGCTTGCCCCCGCCCTCCCTCCGTGCCCACGCCGACAGGGCCTCCCCCCTCTCGGGCGAGCGCCGGCGCCACCACCCACCACCACCACCCGGCCGGCCACGTAGCTAGCCCGGAATAAAATAAATTATCTATCTAAGTACCTAGCCAGCCATGGCGTCCCTCTCCCTCGAGGACGTCCGCAACGAGACCGTCGACCTGGTAAGCCCTTCTCCTTCCTTCCTTCCTCGCCGTCGATCGGTTCGTTTCATTCCTCCATTGATCCGCCTTCACGTCTCGTGTGCATTGGACTGATTTGATTTGCAATTTTGCAGTCGACGGTGACGGTGGATGAGGTGTTCAAGACGCTCAAGTGCGACAGGAAGGGGCTGAGCGAGGCGGAGGGCGAGAACCGGCTCAAGCTCTTCGGCCCCAACAAGCTGGAGGAGAAGAAGGAGAGCAAGCTGCTCAAGTTCCTGGGCTTCATGTGGAACCCGCTGTCATGGGTCATGGAGATCGCCGCCATCATGGCCATCGCGCTCGCCAACGGCGGCGGCAGGCCGCCGGACTGGCAGGACTTCGTCGGCATCGTCACCCTCCTCTTCATCAACTCCACCATCAGCTACATCGAGGAGGCCAACGCCGGGGACGCCGCCGCCGCGCTCATGGCCGGGCTCGCGCCCAAGACCAAGCTGCTCAGGGACGGCAGCTGGGAGGAGCGGGACGCCGCCATCCTCGTGCCCGGAGACATCATCAGCATCAAGCTCGGCGACATCATCCCCGCCGACGCCAGGCTGCTCGAGGGCGACGCGCTCAAGATCGACCAGTCGGCGCTCACGGGCGAGTCGCTGCCGGTGAACAGGTACTCCGGGCAGGAGGTGTTCTCAGGCTCCACGGTGAAGCAGGGCGAGCTCGAGGCCGTCGTCATCGCCACCGGCGTGCACACTTTCTTCGGCAAGGCCGCGCACCTCGTCGACAGCACCAACAACGTCGGACACTTCCAGCAGGTGCTCACGGCCATCGGCAACTTCTGCATCATCTCCATCGCCGCGGGCATGCTCGTGGAGATCATCGTCATGTACCCGATCCAGCACCGCGCGTACCGCGACGGCATCGACAACCTCCTCGTGCTCCTCATCGGCGGCATCCCCATCGCCATGCCCACCGTGCTCTCCGTCACCATGGCCATCGGCTCCCACCGGCTGTCGCAGCAGGGCGCCATCACCAAGCGCATGACGGCCATCGAGGAGATGGCCGGCATGGACGTGCTCTGCAGCGACAAGACCGGCACGCTCACACTCAACAAGCTCACCGTCGACAAGACCCTCATCGAGGTGTGCTCCAAGGGCGTCGACAAGGACATGGTGCTCCTCTACGCCGCCAGGGCGTCCCGTGTCGAGAACCAGGACGCCATTGACACGTGCATCGTCAACATGCTCGCCGACCCCAAGGAGGCCCGCGCCGGCATTAAGGAAGTCCACTTCCTACCCTTCAACCCGGTGGACAAGCGCACGGCCATCACCTACATCGACGGCAACGGCGACTGGCACAGGGTCAGCAAGGGCGCGCCCGAGCAGATCATCGAGCTCTGCAAGATGGCACCGGACGCCGAGAAGAAGGTGCACACGCTCATCGACTCATACGCCGACCGCGGCCTTCGGTCCCTCGGCGTGTCGTACCAGCTGGTCCCGGAGAAGAACAAGGAGAGCGCGGGCGACCCGTGGCAGTTCATCGGGCTGCTCCCCCTGTTCGACCCTCCGAGGCACGACAGCGCGGAGACCATCCGCCGCGCGCTCCACCTCGGCGTCAACGTCAAGATGATCACCGGCGACCAGCTGGCCATCGGGAAGGAGACCGGGCGGCGGCTCGGCATGGGCACCAACATGTACCCGTCCACGGCCCTCCTGGGCGACAAGAACACGGCCGTGGACGGCCTCCCCATCGACGAGCTCATCGAGAAGGCCGACGGGTTCGCCGGGGTGTTCCCGGAGCACAAGTACGAGATCGTGAAGCGGCTGCAGGACAAGAAGCACATCGTGGGGATGACGGGCGACGGCGTGAACGACGCGCCGGCGCTGAAGAAGGCCGACATCGGCATCGCCGTGGACGACGCGACGGACGCGGCCCGGTCGGCGTCGGACATCGTGCTGACGGAGCCCGGGCTGAGCGTGATCGTGAGCGCGGTGCTGACGAGCCGCGCCATCTTCCAGCGGATGAAGAACTACACCATCTACGCGGTGTCCATCACGATCCGGATCGTGCTCGGGTTCATGCTGGTGGCGCTGATCTGGAAGTTCGACTTCGCGCCCTTCATGGTGCTCATCATCGCCATCCTCAACGACGGCACCATCATGACCATCTCCAAGGACCGGGTGAAGCCGTCGCCGAAGCCGGACTCATGGAAACTCGACGAGATCTTCGCGACGGGGGTGGTGCTGGGCACGTACATGGCGCTGGCCACCGTGGTCTTCTTCTACCTGGCGCACGACACGGACTTCTTCACGGAGACGTTCGGGGTGCACCCGATCAGGGACAACGACCGGCAGCTCATGGCGGCGCTGTACCTGCAGGTGAGCATCATCAGCCAGGCGCTCATCTTCGTGACGCGGTCGCGGAGCTGGTCCTTCGTGGAGCGGCCGGGGTTCCTGCTGCTGTTCGCCTTCTTCGCGGCGCAGCTGATGGCGACGGCGATCGCCGTGTACGCCAACTGGGACTTCTGCGACATGGAGGGGATCGGGTGGGCGTGGGGCGGCGCCATCTGGGTCTTCACCCTCGTCACCTACATCCCGCTGGACGTGCTCAAGTTCATCATCCGCTACTCGATCAGCGGCAAGGGGTGGAACAACGTACAGAACAAGGCAAGCTAAGCCCAAGCCCATGCATTGTTTTGCCAATGGCAATGCCGCGCCCGCTCCGCCGCCGTCGCCATTGTTGTTGATTCGTCTTTCTCCATTTCGTCCCAGTGAAGTGAGACACGTTTGTGATCTTGGCGCAGACGGCGTTTACCAACAAGAAGGACTACGGCAGGGGCGAGCGGGAGGCGCTGTGGGCCAGGGAGCAGAGGACGCTCAACGGCCTCAGCCAGCCGGCCGGCTCCGACCTCCTCAGCAACAAGGAGGAGCTCTCCGACATCGCCGCGGAGGCCGCCAAGCGCGCCGAGATCGCCAGGCTCAGGGAGCTGCACACGCTCAAGGGCCACGTCGAGTCGGTCGTCAAGCAGAAGGGCATCGACATCGACGCCATTCCGCAGAACTACACCGTCTGATCTGATCGATTGCTGCTCCGGTGGGGCGGCCGGAGAGGGTCGCTTGTGTTGCGTGGTTTTGAGCGAGAAGAGCAATGCTTGTACTACAACTATGCCGGTATACCTCTCTGTGTGTATACATCTCTCTTACTACTGCTGCATAGGTTTTCTTGTGCTCTCTATCTGACACTATCTGTAATACAAGTGTGTGGGAACGGTGCGTCTGCATCAACATTTTGTCTCTCTTGTCACAAACCTCTTGCTTCTCTCCCTGCTACTCCCTCCCTAAACAAATATAAGAGCGTTTCGATCACTACTTTAGTGATCTATAAACGCCCTTATATTTCTTTACGGAGGGGGTACTATGAAAACTGCGTGCGTGTGTGTGTATCCTGGCTAATGCACCTCCTACATCCAAAATCTCTTCTACCTTTTCAAATGAATGAACATCTCATAAACACAAAGAAATGGATAATTCTATGCATAAGAGAATATCCTAGTGATTCACATCTACCTACACAAAAACTCATAAACCTCATCTATCCTCAGGTTTACAGAAACACGATG